CGGCAGACATCTGTATGGATGACAGCAGTTAGGAAAATGCTACCAAGTCTATCAATACAGATTAAGTAGGGGTGGGATGGAGCAGACTTGATGGCTCAGAGTCCTGCTAATGGAATGTGGAGCCTTTCACCTCCAGCATACTGACTTGAGCCAGCCTAGGTCAGTCTGTCACTGAAAGTCATTACCATCAGATGGTTCAGTGAAATGAGTTTGTCCTAATGGCAGGCTGTCTGTGTCACAAAATGCACCATCTATCATGACTGACACCACCTTGAAATTTTCAGCTGGAAGGCTGGAAGGAAAGAGGATGGGCTCCACATTCCTTCTATCTCTGTGGGAAGCATGGGTAAGGACAGTTATCTGGAGCTTTAGAAATCTTGAGGTTTTAAAAACGTTTGATTTTAGGAACAGTGGTGCCAACCACTAACCTGACATAGAGTGAGAGGAAGGTACTTGTGCTGAAGAAATTGCAACTGAAATGTAAGGCAAGACATGAACTAACAGGCAGAAATAGTAAATATGGGAGAAGCATGATAGGAGTCGGCTCAGCACACTAGCAGGATGAAGTTACAGTAGCTATCCTGCTGTAGGTCTCTTTTTGATGGATTTGAGAGTAAGTGTCACATGGGGAAAGCAAAATAGGATTGTATAAAAAAAATTGCAGTGAAAGCCAGAATTCTACGTTAGTCAGAGGTGAGAAGCAAAAATAAAAGCTAAGTGAAAACAAGACAGGATAGGCCTAAAGGATTTCAAAATGAAGGCAAAGTGTGTACAGAGCGGGCAGAGAGATGGCAAACACTGGATAGATGCAAAATGAGAAATTACAGGGATAAAGGGATGAGCTAAGGTGATTATTTCTTTCAGCAACAATTCTGGTTGGATATGAGAAGAGCAAGACTATATATGTCAAAGCCACCAGAAATTACATTGTTAGGAAGTGACAGGAGCATAAAGAGTTTTAGCTTTGTTGTTAGATGGGGAATACTGTACCTTGTAGAAGTTCTGGAGTAAGGTATTCCCTGAAAGATTTAATGATAGCCTGAATAGTAGTCCCAATCAAACAGCTGTTTTTTTGGCAACATTCAGGCTACAGTTCTGGATGAGAGAAGGGGCAAAACTCTTACTTAGTGATGGCAAAATTAATAGAACAAAAATAATTAAGAACATTCCTTCACATCTTTGGGCTTAACTTGGTGGTTAGACATACGTAAGAAGATATCAGGTTAGACAGTAGACAAGTTGTTGCATTTTGGGGAGATAGTTTTCTCTATGTTACTCTAATCCTTGTTGTCAACTTGGAACAAAGATGTTGAGCAACATTTTCCAACCTTTTGTCTAAAACTAACTAAACTCTAAAAGCTTGGGAACCGATTCTCAGAGCTTTGCAAAAGATAAATAAAGAAGCCTACTTTCACTGGGTGTAACTGAACTTCTATTAAAAAAAATGACAAATCATAAACTTGAAAACCACTGCATAGGTGAACAGAAAGGGACAGATAGATCCTCGTCAAATTGTCAGAGTAATCTGAAGGTCTCATGAAGGAATGAAAAATAGGTGAAAAACCAGGGAAAGAGTCACTGAATACAATACCTGATACATTTTCCTCAAAATTTTGTAAGATAAAACCATGTAAGTTAAAAATACTTTTGGAGTTTTAAATTCATCTGCTCAAGGGATATGGCACAAATTGATGGGTGTAGCAAGATCAATAAAAATTACTCTCTGTTTGACATACACATCAGTTACAGTTACATAATAGTAATGGTATCCTTCCTGTATTTACAGCTCTAAGAGAAATTTAAAATATTTCAGGACATATATACTTCACCCAGGCTGCTTCTTATTCCACCAAAAGAAGCAAGTCTGTCTGTTGTACTTTGTGTCATCTAAATGTAAAACTGCCATTCTGAACAGCAGGAACGCCTTCTCTGTAGAAGAAACCTCACAATGGGAAATGTTTTTCCCATAAAATGAAGATTAAGAATGAAGAATTGAAACAGTCAAACTAAAAACGGAGAAAACTCCTCAGGAATCCTTTTCATGAAACTGTAATTCCTTATGACTTCTTTACAGATTCAGTGTCAAGGATGCTGGGCATACATAGGTTTATAGAAGAAAACTTGGTGGTGAAATGAATATTGGGATTAGGTGAAATTGTGTCCAGTTTCGGTTACCATAATATAGGAAAGATATTAAGTTATTAGAGAGTGTTCAAAGGAGGGCAATGAAGATGGTGAAGAGCCTTGAGAGGAAGCTGTATGAGGAGTGGCTGAGGTTAATTGGTCTGCTCAGCCTGGATAAGAGGAGACTGATCGGAGACCTTGTCGCAGCCTACAACTCCCTTGTGAGGGGAAGTGGCGAGGCAGGCACTGATCTCTTTTTGGTGGTGACCAGTGACATGACACAAGGGAATGGCCTGAAGTTGTGTCAGAGGAAGTTTAGGTTGGATATTAGAAAAAGATTCTTTCCGCAGAGGGTGGTTCGGCACTCCTCGGGGAAGTGGTCACAGCACCAGGGCTGACAGAGTTCAAGAAGCGTTTGGACAATGCTCTCAGGAACATGGTGTGACTCTTGGGGATGGTCTTGTGCAGGGCCAGCAGTTGGACTTCATGATCCTTGTGGGACCCTTCCAGCTCAGCATATTCTGTGATTCTGTGAAACTGAAGTAGAACCAGATGTACTTTGCTATTAGGACTCACACAGACGAACTCCTCAGCAGTGGTTTAGATAATGCAAAATCAGATGATGCAAAATCATTGCATTATTCATCCTGAAAACACGGATTCTGATATTTCATCATATTTATTTACTTGGTTCTGATTACGCAGTCAAAATTCATGTATACCAGCTACTTGAATGTGATTGCTGTTTTGCACATAATACTATCTTCAAATATCCATGAGCATAATCGTGACTTGGGTTTAATTGAATCATAATAAAACAATCAAAAAAATCAAAAGAAACTCTTAAAATATTTTACAAGTATATGATTCTTGGCTTACCATTAGGAGTATAAACTAAATAAATTATTGTTCAAAATTCTGAACATAGAAGTTAGAAAAATTAGAGGAGGCGCTCACAGTGATTGTGACACCACCAGTCCCAGAGGTGGACAAGATTGCTGGGGAATAAAATATATGTGTGTTCAGTGAGATACAAAGCAGATAAACACCCTTAGTGTGAAATTTCTTGGCAAAAAAAAAATTGTACAACTTTATGTCTCATAACTCAAAATCAGGATGCACTATCTTTCTAGAAAAGCTGTATCATTTGAGCTATTTATTAAGCTTGCTACAGAAATGACTCAAGAAAACTGTGGTTTGGTATGCGTGCCAGACACAAACTGAGTAATCAACTTTTCTGTAGGCTCGCTCTCCACTCTGTATGCATGTCACCTAGAAAGATGAGAAAGTTCAGCTGGGTATGGCTTTCACTTCCGAACTTGCAGAGGTAAACAAATGCAAATATTTCTTTTTCGTGTATCTTTCCTTACAGGGGAGTGTTACACTTGGTTATCAAGTGCCATTTTGCAGGAACCAAGGCATGCACTAGCAATACTAATCAGTAAGCTGTTCCAAGAGTCAGTGGCTTGATTCTTGCACCGAAGTAAAGTAATATCTGTTGCAGAGGACCTGGTATCGTCTCAAGGTGTCTAAAAAATTACCTGACGGGGTTCGTAATTTGCCATGTGTTATGTTTTTATCATCTTAAATATAAGTTCCCCCTGACGTGGGCTTGTGATGGTGATGATCGGGGGCTGAAACTAGATGATCTCTACGGTCCCTTCCAATCCAAACCATTCTGTGATGTTAAGGCGTCTAATTGCTTTTCACTCTACATGTCTGGAGCAACAATTCGGACACAAGTAGGAAATAGCGGTAAAAAGAGAGCAGAGGGCGTGAACGGCGTATGCTGAAACACTCCATGGCTGAGCTTTCAGCCTCCCCCAAAACATCCTCTCCAGAAAACCCAACGAGACAACCGAGGGCCGCAGGCAGGCGGGACACCTCCCGCCGCAGAAGGTGCCGCGATGCCGGGACCAGGGCCGGGGCCGGGGCCGAGCAGGGCGGGCGGGACCGGGAGGCGGGGACGTTCGGGCAGAAGGCAGCAGGAGCCCCGCTAGCACAGGAAGTCGCGACGCCGAGAGAGGAGGGAGGAGGCAGGAGGCGGAGCTGTGCCGCTCGGCCCGAGGTACCGCGCCGCGTCCCGGGCAGGCCGAGGGGCCGCGGGGCCCGAGGGCCTCTCACGGCGCCCGCCCCTCCCGCTCGGCGGGGGCGCCGCCATTGGCCCCCCGCACGCAGCGCCCGCCAGCGCGGCCGGCGCGAGGCCCGCCGCGGGGCTACGCGGCCATTGGCCCGCGGGAAGCGCTCCCCGCCGCGATTGGCCGGAGCGCGCTGCCAATCAGGGCGGCCCCGCCCCTGGAGCGCGGGCTGAGGGGCCGGGGGGGGGGCGCGGCGGGTCCGTCTCGGGTGTGGGCGGGAGAGGCCGTCGTGCTGTCTTGTCGTGTTGTGTCATGTTCTGTGCTGTCCTGGGGCCGGGGTTCTTCCCCATCCGCACCGAGCTTCCTCGGCTGCATGGGTTGCTTTCCCCATGCCAGCGAGTGGGGCCGTGCTGGAGGGAAACAAACCCCTCGCCAGGATCTCCTCGGCGGGGCCAAGTTGCAGGCCTGGCCCGGGCCCGCCGCTCCGGCCGAGCTGGCGGAAGCCTGCGATGCTTCCATGTGGGAGTAGCTCGTGGTTTTCCCTCGAGAGCGCGATTCCTCCCGTGCTGGCGGCCAGTGCGGTGTGTTTGGTGTGAAGCCCCGCCTGCCCGGGGTGTCGCGGTGTCTGGAGCTCGACAGTCCGTCGCTCTGTGTGTGCTGACCCCACACGCTCAGGGATACTGGGACGTGCCGGAGCCGCAGCACGTGCGGTGTGTGGCGGTGCTGGGTGTGTTTGGCCGGCTATGGGCGTGCAGTAAATCTGATGAACCCCGGAGTTGTTGAGCTGGCTGTGTTTGTCTTCCAGGCGTGAAGCGTTCCGGGTACATTGGGCTCCTTTGTATTTTCTGCAGAGTGCGCTGGTCATGGTTGCGCTCAGAATATCCTGGACGGAATTATGTGAGAGTATGTGGGCTGCAAAACTTCTGAATGTGAGGTGTTGGCAGGGGATTCTGCCGCCCTGTTTGTGTGGCTCGCAAGCTGCTCCACCTTCCATCAACCTACACAGTTGCGAGGACAGAGCACAGCAGTACCAGAAAGCCTCTTTGAAAGCCCTTATGTTGTAACTGGGCTGTATATACGGCACACATGTTCACACTCAGTAATTCAATTACATGTCTTACAGGTTTCGAGTTCTACCCTGTTGGGGACCAGGCTCATTCCTAAAGAGCTAATCAGAATGAAAGAGTACCTGTTACTAAAGATATACGGACTTTCATACAGCCTTTGCTACTGATACATGACTTCTATGGTAGAAAACTGTATAAAGTGATGTTTAAGGGATACACAAAATTCTACAAGTATGGGGAAAATTGAACCATTTCTTAAGTATTGCTGTTTGGCTTGTCATCCTTGGCTGAATCACTTCACCCTGAATCACAAAACAGGCTAGGGACAAACTGCATTATTCAGAAGGTAGTTTGTTCATGCAAGGAAAAATTTGGCAGTTTTCTTTTGTTGGAATGATCATCTTTGATCATGACTTAGTACTGTTTACCTTGTGGGACTTTTCTGTCTTCATGGAAGCAGTGAAGACAAGCCTACTTCAAATCAGTTCTGTAAGTGTGAGCATAGAGAAAACAAAGTGTTAACTTTGAAATAAATTAATACAAACAGTTGACAAAAAAAAAGGTGAGTTGCTCACTTTTTTGTTATTTTTTCCTTCAATATGTAAATCCCTTTTGTAATTTATTTTCTAATTTGTAATTCTGTAATTTATGTACAGTCCTCTAGCTAAACCTGTTTGAGCAGAGATAGATGAGCACAAGTAGATGGCTTCAAGAGGTTCTTTTCAACATCAGCAATCCTGTAATTCTGTGAATTTGATTTATTAATGTAGCCAAGTAGAGATTACAACAAGGTTCTACAGTTGACTTCATAGTCTGCTTAAAGTAGTTTTTGTATCTGCAAAAACAATACAGAAAATACTCAGTTACTGTTTCAACATAGATGTGGGAGCTCTTCAAATATCTAGGTTTTGAAAGATTACTTCAAATCAAATGACTAAAACAGAGATTCCTGTAACATTGGTAAAACTCCCCCTATAATTAGCTTTAAATCTTGTATCAAATTACATACAAAGATGTATATGTCTTTCTGTTAAGTCACATAAAAACAGGACTATTTCAGATGAGCAGTTGAGTTCCAGAGTTTAATTACTGCATTACACTGAATGACCATGGTTTTTCTATACATCTTTCCTTAAGAACTTACTTTAGCAGAAGGTAATATGCAAGGAGGTACATACTTTCTTCATAAAATTAGTAGTACTGGGGCTTTTTGGTTGTTTGTTCTTTTTTTTTCTTAATCATGAATGATACAGAATAAGCTTATATGCATTTGAAGATTCCTCACTGACTTCTGCCTGTCCTGTGACTTCATAGCTCTCGCTGTTCCACTCTGCAGCCTTTTCAGAGATGGAAGCCAGTTTGTGTGCCAGTTTTGTAGCAGGTACGGAAAAATCCTCCCTGTTGGTCACAAGTATGGAATGGAGACTGGTCATGTAAGCTAATCTGGCAACCTGTGGTACTGCCCAGGGTATCTTTAGGGTTTACTTAATTCAAATATTTTGGCCAAATCCCACAGCCCAGTCTAAAGGGCAACTTAAGCTCAGTGTGCTTTATTGCAGCAGCTCCAGGAAACCTCTAGTTTTAGTAGATGCTACATAGAAAACAAGACAAGGCTTTTTTATTTCTTGCAGTGAGGATATTTTCCTTTGATTTTTCTGTGAAATGTGTTTCTTGAGACCATGAATTAATTTTGGTTAGATAATTTTAAATGTCTTTAAAAATTAATCAATACAATCAAGATTAGTTATAGTTAATTGCAGTTGGATGTTTAGAGTTTCTGTGAGATTCTTCTCATAACCAGGAAGTTGCTTTGTGGATTTTTTTCCTTTGCAATATTTCCATAATAATCTAAATTTTTTATTAGGCAAGACAAGCTGTGAATTATAGGTGAGGATAGGATACTTTGGAAAGTCTTTATATGTTGCTAAAGTGTTCTAATGTTACAAAATTAGGTTATGTATTAAAAAGCCCTAAACCAGTTTAATATCATCTTGAAGAACTGAGTCACTGTATTAAGTTCTTAGGAAGAATAAGTGAATGTTACAAAGAATAAATGAATGTGTTTACACATTAAAAGATACATAGAGAGATACAACATAGATAGTTGTAAGGTGTAAACAAAGAAGCCAGTGATTTCCATTTGCAGTAGAAGTCTACCTCAACCCTCTGAATCTCATACAATACTACCCTTGTAATACAGTTACTCCTGAGAAACAGGACTACGAATGTCAATGTTTTCTGACACAAACTCTGCTTTAAATTTTTCTGCTCTTGTGGATTTTTTCATTTGCTTGCAGGTTTACTTTTGATTGAGGAAAAAATGTGGAGAGATTTATGGAATAAATACTAGCTGTCATTTTTTTTTAAATAAAAAATGAAGCATATTTCAGTGAAAAGCTATCCTCATTTCAGATGAAGTCTGCAATGATTAAATATTAAAATGATCCATGGTTCAAATTAATATAAAAACTTTTCAGGACATTATTACAAAGATTAACGTTTTTAATGTTTTAATACTTACATAGTTTATCAATCACAGACACAGTGAAACTGTTTTTAGGTGTGAAGCTGATGATGCCATATATTATTGCAGTATTATGTACAACGTATCTTATGTATCTTACAGCTCTTCAATAACCAGTTTTATTCTTGAAGTATTTTTTGACGTGCTAAGTAAGCAGTAACAATTTTTTCCCTTTTGAAAAGAAGGTAAAAAGAAAGGGTATTTCTGTAAAAACTGTGGTGTTTGCCATTGAGGAAGGAACTCTGTTTCATGTAAGGACAAACGTAGAAGGTCACTGGTACAGCAATAGAAGAAGTCCTTGCTTATGTTTCCAAATAGGAGTTGAATTAATGTGGCTTTAATATCCCAAAATTATCTGCAACAGCCTGTGATTCCTGATACATTTTTATTTGTTAGAATTATGTTTGAAGGTCATGGGAAAATGTCAAGGCATCCCGGGTGCTTTTGTATCACTAGCTGCGCAAAGATACTCCCGTAGTTCAGTTGGTTGAGTAAACAGCCATTCTTGACATGGACAGTGCTAATTCCTTTGTTTCTCATTTCTTTTCAATTTTTTTTTAGCCACAGGGCTGAAAATCAGCAGTAGTAGTGATTTTTAAGTTTTATTCTGCCTCTCTAACCACACACTGCATTTCATTGTGTCCCAGGACTTTTTGCAGTTTTAAATATGATAATTCATACATCAACAAAATATTGCTTATTCTTGTGTTGTGATTGTTCTTGTCATCATCTTTCACTCAGTATGTTTTGCCATCAAAAACAAGGCAGAATTGGGAAGAAACACTGTGATGAATTAGGCAATGTAAACCCAATTGCAGTTGGGTAAAGAGGGATGGGAGATGGGAAAGGAAGGGAAGGGTGCAATAGAAATCCAGGAGTGGATGTTGAGCTGGAGAAGTGAATAAATGGGGAAAGACTGTTCTGACAGCAGAAGCTTATGGTGGGAGAAGTCATTTACAGCAGAAAGGACAAGTGTGAGAGAGGAAAAGAGCAGAGGTTAGCACTAATATTGAGAATAATAATTTAAATGGAGAATGGTATTGGGAAGTTAAAATCCAGAAGGCAAGCTGAAGCACACCATTTTGTACACAAGTTTATTGTTGGCTATTAATGCTGTTATTTCTAGTCTTAGGTAAGACAACAAAATAAAAGATGGCATTTGTGTCATCTGTAGTTGGTTGCCTCTAGCCAGAAACCAAACTTATCCTTATGTATTTCTATTGAAATCAAATAAATAATGGAACAAAATAATAACCTTTTATGTCATGAACTGGTTTTTATTCTGGGGAAACAGATTGGATTGGAAATGTAGTAGATTTCAAAGTTTCAATTGTTTTCTCTCCGGCTGTGCTGTGTGGTGTAAATGAAGAAAAGGTTAAGTCTACCCATGATAATTCTTTCTCACATTTATATTATCAATCAGCCTTTGTATCTTTTTGTGCTTTTATCTGTTGTGTTTTCATTGTAATCTTTACATATGAAGTTCTCAATTCTACAAACTCTTACACTGAAATTTATTCACAAATGGCTCTGACAGATGTGCTCTGGAAGCCTTAGATGCTGTGGTTTAAGATGCTGCCAGCTGGTCTCTTATCCCCACCTCTCAGACTGCAGTCTGGAAGGAAGAGCCAGCAATACCTGCGCCTGAGTTCGCTTCCCTTGCCTGAACTCACATTTCTTTTGGGTGACTTGTGCTGATGTGGAGGCTGGGAATGGGATCCTGGCTTCTGGGGGCAGATCGTACACCTTCTTGTCTTTTCTTACAAGCTGCTCACCCTGCCAGAAAGATGATTAAGCACCTGGGTCAGCAACATCTTACGGCCTCTCAGACACCCAAAGCTTGTTTATGAGATTTCCCTGTAGTTTTAAGTTGAACGTGTTTAAAACTTTCTATTTTAAATTATCTATATTTTCGGTTTGTTACTGTACCAAGTCAGTGTGGAGGACATTCCCATACTTGGCTTTACCGTACCAGTCTCTACTTAAACACTTACTCCGTGGTTTTGTCTGCTCTTAAAAGTGATCATACCTGAAAGCTTATATTAAAAACCTCAGATCTTTCATGTTATATGTATGCCATAGAAATTGTTTGGGTTTTAGTGTTGCTCTCATTGTGTATGGAGCTGATTATGCTGCCTCCAATTAAGATTGCATCAGTTACTGGTAGACCAGTTTTGTATTGCTTATGCTCTTGCCAAAAGGAAATAGTTAACCTGAAGCAGTGTTTTGTTTTGGTTTTGCGTCTTGGCTGTCAATCTGAAAGTACATTATTTCCATAGCTAACATTTAAATTTGATTAGGTCCTTGATTTACTGTTACTCGACTAAAATAAATTTAAAAATTAGGACTGTACAGTAAAATAAAATGGATAAAGAGCTGGTGAGCTGCCAGCACTCAGAAATAATGGCTGGAGGCCACTGTCAGAGGTTATGTGTGTTGAGGACTTTCCCCAGTGTTTGTGTCAGGTGTGATGCACTTTGCAGTTTTGATCAATTGTCTGTGTGTAAACATAAAAGCAATAGTGACAAACAGTGGATGGTTCAGTGATTGCTGGACTGATAAAAAGAAGTTTAAAGCGTGGCTGAGATCATGGTAACAGGAGTCTGTTACAGTGCAGTTTGTCTAGGTTTGTGGAGGAGCAAGGAATGCTGGAGGTGTGTGCAGAATGAAAGATTTTTATCTTGTAAAGCTGTGACTGAGGGAAGACTTGGGGGTTGGTGAGGAAGATCCTGTAGCCAAAGGGGATTCAAGTGCAGGGCAGTGTCAAGGACTGGTGCTGCCTAGTAGAGGTAGAGGGAGAGGTAGGAGCATGGTTTAAATCCCTTTAATAAGACCAGGGCTAGAATGTTGCATCTAGTTTTATTTCTGGGAAAAACATGTCCTGGAAAATTTGAAAGCATGATGAAGATACTTAAAGTCACGGACTTAGCTCTGTTAAAAGCACTGCCCTTTGTAGGTGGGCTTGAGAATAGGTTTAGGTTTGTTGTGTTAGTTCTGACCGCAGGTCTGCCTTACCTCACCCACTGTGGACCTCAGCAAGCTCTGTTACCTCTCCCACCCACCTGGCTGCTTCAGAGGCCCTCCTACATACATAGTGTTGGGTGTCCTGTGCGAGGCTATTTTGCATCCATGTGAATTTCTCGTTTTTCCCTTTACAGAGGACATGGAAAGCATTGTTTCTATTTTGTTGTATATATATACGTATATATGCAGCATGGAAAGTATTTTAGAATATGTTTTTCAACTAACTTAAGTATGATTATAGTGGAACTGCTAAGAATTGCAGCAGCTGATAATTTAGTGACTTTTTTAATTCTAAAATCATAAGATGGTCAGAGCAAGGGTGGATGTTGCTTTCATTGGAATTTTTTTTACATGTTATTTAATTTACGAATGAATCTTTCTGTAATTTGGAGTGGAAAGATTAATAAAGTGTTCTTAAATAGCTGCTTACCTTTTTATACTGAAAGATAGGATAATTTGAAATAATATTTCAAATTATATAATATGGTAATATTTCAGTATCTTTCTGGGTATACAAAGCTAGAGACCAACAGGCTAAATAGGAGGAGGGTATTGGGGGAAAATTATTATAGAGACAAAATCTATTGAAAAGAGCTTAAGACTATTTTCATTTTAAGTACACTAGTGGGGTTAAATAATATTAGTAACTTCTATTAGAGTAACAGATCATAATAATTTAAAACAAAAGTTCCCAGCGCACTTGCTAACATCCTTTATGGCTTCAGTACAACACATCTGAAATAATTCACAAAGCAAAGCTTCTGGATGAATTCTTCCAGTTCTGCATGGGAAGAGTGCCTGTTTATCTTCATGCTTGTTTATATAGACCCGTGGAAATTATGATCTAAATGTGGGTACCATACTAAAACATAGCCATATATGCAG